ACTGATCTACAGTGTTTGAGAATCAGAGAAAAGCTGCCTTGATAGAAACATAATAGAAAAGATTGAAGAGTAAAGAAAACAAGCTGGCTTTACAATAAAGTACAGTTCCCCCCTAAAGTGAGGCCAGCTCTTATTTCAGGCACAGAGAGAATCAGCTGAGCAATGAAGAGGACAACATGGTTAACCAACTGGATCCGGAGGAATACTATTCACTTAATATAGATTCATAATTCTTAGCATCTGGAACTCTGGATTGTTACTGAAACAGACATCAGAGACTCCCTGATGAAGCTAATTAAACAGTATAAAGATTTGTGAATGGAACAATTTAAATCAGTTTGCTAAAAATGTTACAAGAATGCTAAATAAAAATCGTAATAAAAGCATAATTAATGCCGTATAAGCCCAGAGTTAAGGGATTCAAGGCTTAGTGTGAGACAATTTCCTTTGTGAGCTTCACTGGGTCATTTTTGTTACTAATTAGTAGAATAAATAGCATTATTGAGTGGAGGTTAGTATTACGAGCTCTAATGCCTAGAGGGAAGACAGGCTAAAGCTGGCTACCAAATGTGATTGGCTATGAGCAAATGACTCAATTTTTATTGTGTACTTAATGTATAGTACCCCTCTGAACAACATGTTAGCCACCTCCACTTTATGGTAAGGGTACAAGAATTAAAAAACTTATAAAATTTCTTTGCACTTTTAAATAAATTAAAACTAAGTCACGGGCCTCCCCGGTGGCGCAGCGGTTGAGCGCTGGGTTGCAAAGCTGCCCGCGGCCTCTGCGGCGCTGGTTCGATTCCCGGCTGCTCCCCGGCCACCGGAGGAGGGTCCCACATGGTGCGCAGACCTCTCCTGCCGCCCGCTGCTCCCCTCAGCAGTGTACTTCGGTCCTTCTGCCTGCTCTGCTCCCCGCTCTGGCTCTGGTGAATTCTCTCGCCCTCCCGCGCTTCTGACTGTACCCAGTGCATGTATAAACCAAACAAACAAACAAATAATAAATAAATAAATAAATAAGACATGCCTCTAGAAAATTAAAAAAAAAAAAAAAACTAAGTCACCACACACAAACTGTCTCAAGTTTGTATCAACAAAATAAATAGGTGGTTATTCCATAAACTAAATTCAATACCTCTCTCTACTATTACCAACGATAATAAAAATATCCCAATAGATTTTAACCTTTTTCAAAGCACTTTCACAAATATTAATCGCAAAACTATCATTATGAATGATCGTACCACCACTCTACAGGCATGTTAAGTACAGGTTCCTGTTGCAGGATATACTCCTACATCCTCCCTAGTGCTAATAACTCCCTTTTATTTACATGGCTTTTCACTCCGTTCAAAGCACTTTCACAACATATTAACTGGAGCAGTGGCATCCAGAGTGATCTTTCCATTCATCGCATCATTCCAATGGCATAACGCATAAAAGAAGAGAAATAAAGATGACAATAAACAGATGAGATGATTTTGAGGCAGTGAATTCATGAATCTTAAACTTGGATCCAAATATCCCTGCAGTCTTAGAATAGGAGCAAACTCCCCAGGACAAGTCGATTCTCCTTTTCTTCCAGGCACAGGCTTTGGGTGGCAGCAAAATTAAGTGATCAAGATATGTTCTGCATGAGCATAAAGAGAGGGACCAAATCTCTCTTATTCCCTGCTGCCAGCCCTCCAAGACAAGCACAAGGCTCAATGCACAGTGAATGCTCAATAAATAGCTCACCTCTGTAATTATGACCACAGGAAGAACAGTCTACCCAAGCTCTCAAAGACTATCTGGTAATGAACTAAGAACAAAAATTTCAATTTATTTTTGTTTTCCAATCACTACTTTTAAGTATGTGCACACCAAGCAGAATCTATATAAAAATAGACTCACAAAAGCTCTACTAAGAATCCATGAAACAGACAATGGAAGATAGATCCAGAGGACCAAGACCTCAAAGACAAAAGGAAATATACCTGATGGCCCTGAACTCTGCAAGCAGCACTTGTAAGTCCCTGTGCTTAAACTAAAAATTACATTAAAAAAGAACTCTTAGGACCTCCCCTGGTGGCACAGAGGTTGAGAGCTGGGCTGCGAAGCTGCCCGCAGCCTCTGCAGCAGCGGTTCGATCCCCAGCCACCAGCAAGGGTCCCACATAGCGCGACAGACCTCTCCTGCCATGCCCACTGCTCCCCTCAGCAGTGTGTTTTGTCACTCTGCCTGTTCTGTTCCCCGCTCTTGCTCTGGTGAATTCTCTCACCCTCCCATGCTTCTGACTGTACTCAGTGCTTGGATAAATAAATAAATAAATCTTTAAAAAAAAAAGAACTCTTAGCAGGTTGACTTGTTTCCTGTATGTTGGTGTCTTTTGAGTCACTCATTTTATTTTTTTTTTATTTTTTTTTTTTTTAAGATTTATTTATTTATTTATACAAGCACTGGGTACAGTCAGAAGCGCAGGAGGGTGAGAGAATTCACCAGAGCCAGAGCGGGGAGCAGAGCAGGCAGAAGGACCGAAGCACACTGCTGAGGGTAGCAGCGGGCGACAGAAAAGGTCTGTGCGCCATGTGGGACCCTCTTCCGGTGGTCGGGGAGCAGCCGGGGATTGAACCGGCGCCCCAGAGGCCGCGGGCAGCTTCGCAACCCAGCGCTCAACCGCTGCGCCACCGGGGAGGCCCGAGTCACTCATTTTATACGTGAGTTGCATAAACAGTTTTTTCCTTTTCTTTGATTAAGACCAAGATAAAAGAAGGTACTAGGGTTTATGAGCTAATTGAGTTACCAGAAACCTGGATATAAATTAAAATTTTTAACTGGTTGCATTTTTAAAAGCACATAAGGAATCTTGCTATTTTTAAAAAGTCTTATGGTAATGTGTTACATAAACTGTTCATTTATGATATTATACCTTTCTAATGTAGCCTTTTGGTTGCTTCCATATTTAACACACAGCATATTTTCTTAAAGCAATGACAAATATGAGTTTAAAAAAAAAGATTCACTTAATATTCCAGTTTAAAAAAAAAGATTCACTTAATATTCCAGATTTAGTTGGGGGAAATTTCTTTTAAAAAATTATTGATGGTGGTAGGTATTTTTTTTTTAAATACCAACAGGACTACATCAAACTAAAAAGCTTCTATTGCTTCTGTCAGTGAAAGAAACTATCATTAAAACAAGAAGATAGCCTAATGAATGGGAGAAAATATTTGTACAGCTGACAAGGGACTAATATCTAAGATCTACAAAGAACTCATACAAATCAACAACAAAAAAAACAATTAACCCAATCAAAAAATGGGCAGAGGAGAAAAACAGACACTTCTCCAAGACACACAGATGATCAACAGGACCATGAAAAAAATGTTCATTTATCATCATGGAAATGCAAACCAAAACCACAATGAAATACCATCTAACACCTGTGAGAACGTCCCATATAAAAAAAACCCAGATACAAAAATGTTGGCAAGGGTGTGGAGAAAAAGGAAACCCATACATTGTTCATAGAAATGTATACTGCCTAGCCCCGAGGGAAAACAGAATGGAGGTCCTTCAAAATATTAAAAACAGATAAGCCGTGTGACCCAGCAATTCCAGTCCTAAGTATCTACCTGAAGAACACAAAAGCACTAATTCAAAGGAATATGTGCACTCCTTTGTTCACTGCAGTACTATTTATAAAAGCCAAAGTGGAAAAAAAAAAAAGTCAAAGTATAGAAACCTACATGTCCATCAACAGAGTTGGAGTAAGAAGATGTGGCGTATACATACACAACGGAATACTACCTGCTACAAAAAAGCCATTTGTGACAAGGTGGATGAAACTGGAGTGAAATAACTCAAAAGCAAAAAAGACAAATTCTGACTTGTGGAAAAAACAAAGGAACTGACAAAACTAAACCAAAATAAACCCTAGAAATTGATGGCAGAACTGAGGTAGCTAGAAGGAGGAAGGACTGAGGGTATGGGAATAAAGAGGGTTGAAGGGGCACAGTGGCCTAGAGTGAAGGATGGGTGGGGGAGTGTGCTAACATACATTCAAGGTATGAACCTATTCTTTTAAATCATAAACAGTACAGTAAATTAATGTTACCTCAATAAAGAACATAAAAAGAAAAAAGTTTACTTTCCCATAAAAGGAAATGTTAAAAAAAAAGGTCAACCCCTCCCAATATGTATATATTATAGTATCCCAAAAACTAAACAAAAACTAAAACTTTAATAAAATTTGTAAATTAACTACTCATTAGGTAAGATAGGTCCACTGGAACCATACAATCATCGAAGATAAAAATTAAAGCACAAAATGCTCAGATCACCCTGGCCTCCTTAAATACATGTCTTCTGACTTGAGATAACAGGTCTCCCCATTCTCCAAAAGTAGGACATTCCTCTGTGGTAAGTTAATTTCTCCATACAGGGTATATGCAAAGATTTTTCTAGATAAATGAACTTTCCAGGCCCCAAAATAACCTACCAAATAGGAACATTCCATGTATGGATAGTAAGGGAAACCTGTATTTTTAAATCAAAGAAACTAAGGTCACCAAATGCTCCTATCCATACCAACTTTGGTACATACCATGGAAGCTAATATCACAATTACCAAAATCATTTACAGTAAAAGCATTCTACACACATTCTTTGATGTAGATGGGAAGAAACACCTTATTAAAAATTTTATTTACCTTTGGGAAAATTTTGAAGTTGTATAAAGGGTATTCAGAGAAGCTTCTGTGACCTAGGTATCTTGCCCATTCCGGTATCTACAGAATTTTATAGGTTATCTTTCAATAGGACTGCCAGATAAAATATCACATGAAACATGTTTATACAAAAAATTATTCACTGTTAATCTGAAATTCAAATTTAATTGGGTGTCCTTTTTTTTCCTTTTCTAAATCTGGCAATCCTATTTTCAATGTAAGTCTGTTTCAGAAAACCAAATTCATTGACAGGAAGAGATTTAGTCTTATGGCAGTTGGGTAATTCTTTACCTTTCAGGAACTTCTTGAGGATCAAACCATCATAAATGCTTCCTGTAGAAGCAACTGTAAGAAACAGAATATGAGGAAATATCATAAATAAAACAATAAAATAAGTTTTATTTAAAGACTCAAAAGAGAGCCTGAAAACACTGAACACAGATACAGAACAGAAAAAGGGAGACTAATACTAATGAATTCAGTGACAATGGAGATATCAGAAGCATGTTATGAAGCTACAATGGCGATTAGGGAACAAATACCTTCTTGGAGATAGAGCCAAATTATAAGTCTTTTTACCTATGTATGACACCAGGGCTGCTTCTTTGATGTTGCTATTCCTGACAGAAAAGGATTACAGGAAGACTGAAAACTATAAGTAGGAACCAGAATATATCATGCCAGTAACCCACATTTCAATAGAAGATTAAAAATGTGGCCTTCTTTTAACCAATTAAGTCTTTAGTAGAAAGTACTTTATTAGGCTATCAGGTAAAAATTCACTGTACCAAGAATCATAATGTGAACATTAAAATATTTAGAATCTTATATCTTCAAGGGAAGAAGATGAGGACGGAAGCAGGCACCTACGAGTAGAAAAAGACCAGAACTTTCTGGAGGGTTTTTGTCAACATGAACATGCCCTCCCTCAGAGGGATCTGGCCTCGCAGTTAACAGCCTAAGAACCACTGCCATTAGAATCAATGCAAATGGGGCCTCCCCAGTGGCACAGTGGTTGAGCGCTGGGTTGCAAAGCTGCCCGCAGCCTCTGCAGCGCCGGTTTGATCCCCGGCTGCTGGGCGAGGGTCCCACATGGTGCGCAGACCTCTCCTGCCGCCCACTGCTCCCCTCAGCAGTGTGTTTCATCATTCTGCCTGTTCTACTCTCTGCTCTGGCTCTGGTGAAGTCTCTCACTCACCCTCCCACGCCTCTGACTGTATAAATAAATAAATATATATATATAAATAGTGCTTGTATAAATAAATAAATGCTTGTATAAATAAATAAATCTTTAAAAAAAAGAATCAATGGAAATGTGTCTAACCCTTTTCTTCAGGTAGGGAAAAAGGCTAAGAGTTATTTAAGTAGAGTGAGAAGTAATATCATTCTCTAACCATGGGCTGTCCAATGCAGTAGCCACTAGCTACGTATGACTATTTAAGTTTAGCAAAATTAAGTAAAAAATTCAATTCCTCAGTCACACCAGCCACATTTCAAGTGTGATACAGCTCAGTGTGGCTAATGGCTACTTTACTGAACAGCACAGATAACAAACATTTCCATTATCACAAAAAGTTCTACTGGATAGCAATGTTCTAAATCTCCAGATTTTGAAAGATTCTGGACAAAGGATACATATTTCAAAAGGCCTAAGCCCAAACAAATAGCACAGAATATTTAGTAAGAGCTATCTTTTATTTTTCTCTTGGTGACCCTCAACATATATACATTGGTCATAAAGGAGAGAGCTGGTCATTAGGACAGGATGTGTGGTGGTGGGTAGGCCTAGACTAGCAATTAGTGAAGAGTTAGAACATTAACAAGAAACAAAAAGTATTCCTAGTAATGTGTCCATTAGTTTTTCAATTGAATTTATCACATTTGCCTTTAATATCCTTCCTTAGTTTTAACAAGTGTTATATCAACAATGTTGAAAATGGGTCACTTCTGGAGACCAGTTATTCTGCCTGCTCCAAACCCCACCAAGAACCCGATTATCAGCTATACTTTTAATATTTCTATACTCAAGGAACAAAGTGCTACCCTTCATATACCAAGACACCAGCAGAGATTTAATTATAGAACTCATATTGTAAAGCAACAGCATCCCCCCAAAGCCCCTCTACAAAACAGAAGATTAAAAAGAAAGTACTATGAAGTCAGATATGTTTCAGAAAAGCTCCATATTATAGCTATTTTTCAAGTCCAGGTTGGCATATAAGTTCTAAGATATGAAGTAACAAAATTTATTTGGTTTCAACCAGCATTTCCCAAATTAGATGACTACATAACTCCTTTTTCATAACTCATATAAACATCCTATAGCACATATTTTAGGAAACACTGTAATAAATATCTGTAAAGCTTTCAACAACTGCTGATGGAAAAAAATCACATAGTCATCTCTCAGCTTCTCATAGATGGATCATTTCAATACTAAAACCTGCTGCTTTGTTGTGAGTTGAATTTTGTTCCCCTAAAAGATATTTTTACCTTCAGTATTTGTGAAGTATGTGTGTCTGGAAATAGGGTCTTCACAGATGTTATCACGTTAAGATGAAGTCATACTAGGTGACAGTGGCATTAAATCCAATTGGTATTCTTTTTTTTTAATGGAAAATTTCAGATTTTATTAATACTCAATATTTATTTTATATAACTCACAAAACACAACATACAAATGCACAAACAGGTATACATTAGAACATTATAAAGGCAATGCTTTTAGAAAAGACTAATTTGTATGTAAACACATTTGTGTTTTTGGAATAAAAAAAAATGAAGTATTTTCTTCTTTCTTATGAACTTGTCCATGCTGCACTTCAATGCCAGATCTAGCATTGTCTTATAAACAGGCCACAGCATAACACTGGCATTACTGCTGTCTGAAAATACTGTAACCAACAAGAAATCTTAGATTAGAATGGCTATGTGCCTCAAGGTGAATTCTGGTTTAGATTCATAGAATCCAGTTGGTATACTTTTTTTTAAATTTATTTATTTATGCATACAAGAACTGGGGTACAGGCCAGAAGTGTGGAGGGTGAGAGGATTCACCAGAGACAAAGTGGGGAACAGAAAAGGCAGACTTAGTGAAATACACTGCTGAGGGGAGCAGCGGGCGAGTCAGGAGAAGTCTGATGCACCATGTGGGTCCCCTCACTGGCTGGGGATCAAACTCATGCTGCAATGGCTGCTGACAGCTTCATAGATTGTGTCTTAACCCCTTGCGCCACCAGGGAGGACCCCAATTGGTATTCTTAAGAGAAGGCCACACGAAGACACAAACACACAAAGGTGAAAATACCAGGTGAAGAAAGAGTCAGAGACTGGAGTGATAACATCCACAAGCCAACAACATCAAGGGTTTTGCTGTCAACTACCAGAAGTTAGGAGAAAGGCATGGAATAGATATCTCTCTAAGAGCCTCCAGAAAGAACCAACCCTACTGAGACCTTGATTTTAGACTTCTGGCCTTCCTAACTATGAGAATAAATCATTTTGTTGAAAGTCACCCAATTTGTGGTTCTTTGTTATGACAGCCTAGGTAACTACTACATTGTTTTATATCATCATAGACTGTGGACCAAATACATCAATTCACACTTTCAGTTAAGATGGCAAATTGAACATATGATTCTATTTTTACTATCTCCTAAAGGTTCAACAGATTTTTTTTTTAAGACTTATCTATTTATTTATTTATTTATACAAGCACTGGGTACAGTCAGAAGCGCGGGAGGGTGAGAGAATTCACCATAGCCAGAGCGGGGAGCAGAGCAGGCAGAAGGACCGAAGTACACTGCTGAGGGGAGCAGCGGGCGGCAGGAGAGGTCTGCGCGCCATGTGGGATCCTCCTCCGGTGGCTGGGGAGCAGCCAGGGATTGAACCGGCGCTGCAGAGGCCGCGGGCAGCTTCGCAGCCCAGTGCTCAAACGCTGCGCCACCAGGGAGGCCAACAGATTTTTTGTAAAGGAATAAATTCACAAAGACAGAATAAAAGACAAAGATGATTATAATTCTAGAAACTGAAAAGCAGGACTAGTGGGGACAACTTAGGAGAACTGATAAACTGAACTATAAGCCAAAAATGGGGAGAAGCCAACAAACAACCTGATGTATATAGTAAAATCCCTAAAGACCCAGGAAGGCCCTATCAGGAACCTTGGGAAGGAGGGATTACTTGGGAGCTAAAATAAGGAGACTAGGTTGGAAAAATGAAATTTAATTAGTAGTCAGATACTAAGAAGTTAGATTCCTTCCTCCATTCAGCATTCTGGGGACTGGCCCTGCCTAACCTTGGTGATGGGTGAGAAGAGGTTATTCTTTGAAATGTAGACGCATGGGTCTCTGGGCTGAGAACCAAAGTTGGACTAAAAACAATAGACTGAGTGAACGTAAACACTGAACACCACAATACCCAACGCCCCTTAAGCCCTTAATCCCAGAATAGTGGCAATTTGGCTTTTTATCGCCCTGATGAAAGATTATAAAGATATGCACAGAAAAATCTAGAATGTACACTGAACATTAGTAATTATCTCAAAGGATGAGATTACAAGAATGTCTCACTCTCCAAAGTATGTTTCTGCGATGTGGGAATGTTTTATGATATGCGTTACCATTTTTTTCCCTGCCAAAAACATTTTGAAAATAATTACATAAAGATCTGAGACAATAAAGAGAAATGCCCCCTATACTAGATGGGTTGAAGAGGTTCATTAGGCTCAAAATACTATGAAATTGGGTTTCTTGCCATTGGGTTTCTTGCAGCTCAAGTCCTTTGCTTTGACTCAACCCTGCTACTCTGGCTTACAGATTACAAACTAATCCATCCATATACAGACCAACATCACCCTAGCCATGTGGTGAACCATTTCTCTCATGAATAGTGGACACACTCTCTCTGTGTCCAGCAGAGTAGAGTTCATGCAGAGTAACAGCAAATGAGCCTAACGTATCTTGGTAAATATCTTAAGGATGTTTACTACCAGGGACACAAAGAAGAGACAGGTCATTTCTTTTCAAGTAAGAAAATGTCTTGAGGGTCTCCCCTGGTGGCGCAGGCAGTTGAGCGCTGCGCTGTGAAGCTATCCGCAGCCTCTGCAGCACAGGTTTGATCCTGGCCGGCCAGCCGGCCGGCCGGCCGGTGAGGGTCCCACATGGCACGGCAGACCTCTACTGTCGCGCCCACTGCTCCCCTCAGCAGTGTATTTCGTCAGTCTGCCTGTTCTGTTCCCTGCTCTGTGTCTGGTGAATCCTCTCACTCTCCCGCGAATATGGCCTGTACCCCGGTTCTTGTAAAATAAATAAATCTTTTTAAAAAAATAAAGAAAAGAAAAAGTCGGGCCTCCCCGGTGGCGCAGCGGTTGGGCGCTGGGTTGCGAAGCTGCCCGCAGCCTCTGCAGCGCCGGTTCGATCCCCGGCTGCTCCCCGGCCACCAGAGGAGGGTCCCACATGGCCGCAGACCTCTCCTGCCGCCCGCTGCTCCCCTCAGCAGTGTACTTCGGTCCTTCTGCCTGCTCTGCTCCCCGCTCTGGCTCTGGTGAATTCTCTCACCCTCCCGCGCTTCTGACTGTACCCAGTGCTTGTATGAATAAATAAAATGTTTAAAAAAAAAAAAAAAAAAAAAAAGAAAAGAAAAAGTCTTGAAGGGCCTGGCGTGGTACCCATTCTCAACTGGGACCCAGAGAGACTCCTTTAATTTGAATGGGACTTCATTCCAAGGTATCCTTCAATAAACCCACACACACACACCCCCAAAAAGACAAAGTTATCACTTCAACAAGTTCTCCTCAAGAACAATGAAAGAATGGAAGACACACAGAATTATCAAAGTATGCACCATCAATCATTTACTGTTTCTTTTTACTTTACTTTTTGGCTCTTAACCAACTACTAAGGCTGAACATGAAAGAACAAGGTAAAATTCAATGTAATATAATTTTGCTTTGAAAGAGGAAGTTAAAACAAGAGCAAGAGATTGTTCTGAGCAATCGTAAAATACAGAATCCTGTGATAAGAATCATTCTACTCACCTTTTCTGCATGACACATTAATAAATCTATCACTAGGTACCTAGTACATACTCATTGAAGTTTTTTTTTTTTTTGACTATGGAACAACCCTGGAGTGATCACATGACAAAAGATTATGACAAGGTGAAATTTTTAAATAAACTGTAATAAATTATGACAACACAAAGATAGAAAATCAGTACTTTTTCTCCACTTACTAGTTGTTACACAATGAAGAGTGTTTGTCCGGTGCTTAGAATTTAATGCTTCTATGGAAATCACTAGCTGTCCTTCTACCAAGGCTCCCTTAGGTACTCCTGCTGTTTCACACTTCCAGTGAATTATTAAGTATTTCAAAATCTGAAAAGAGCACAGTTCAAAGAGAACACAATTTTCTTTAGAAATCATTGTAAAAATAAACTTGAATGATAAATTAGTAATTCCAATTTCTAAAAATACAGTATTCTTGCTTGTAAGATGTCAGATTTACATTTGTTCAAAGGAGCATTGAGTTTAAACAAAATGAATAGCTAGGGGAGTGACATACAAACCCAGACAATGAAACACAGCACAACGCCAAACAAGACAGGAAATGGAGACAATAAACTGCTTTATTGAAAGGATAAATTCATCTGGAAATAATAATTTGAAAAAAAATTATGTGGGAATTTGTTTTGTCTTTTTTTTTTTCCTCCCCAAAGAAAAGCGACCATGAAGATTATAATGACGACATCTGGTTATGAATCATATTTACCTTTAATTAAATCAACACTTCTGATTTAATTAAATCAGAAGTTAAATTAAATTAACTAGGGTCAGCATACTATGAAAAGCATTTGAGTTTCTGGAGACAGAGAGATGCCTGGGTTTGTATCCCTGGTGGGACAAATACTACCATGTGATCTTGGGCAAGCTACTGATTTACAAAAATGAGGACAAATCTACCACATACGGCAGCTGCTGAACATAAATATGTGCAAAATGCTTATGACGGTGCCAGTCATATAATAAGTGCTTACTATGTCAGCTGCTAGTTCATAGTATGTTCATCTGCATCAAATATTTGAAATTGAACAGGTCTCATGGATAAAACATTTTAAAGTAAAATACAGTGTATTTAATTCCATTATTTGTGACAGTAGAGCCTGACTCTACACCAAGGAATGACCCCCCCCTTTTTTTTTTGTGGGACCCCCGCAGGCGTCCGGGGAACGAACCGCGCTGCAGAGGCTGCGGGCAGCCTCGCAGCCCAGCGCTCAGCCGCTGCGCCACCAGGGGAGGCCCGAAATGACCCCCTTTTTTAAGGGCAAGTAGCTCTCAGTAAAATTTGTGAACTAAGACACCTTAATTTGTATGAGATGATAAGGATGATTTCCAGGCACTTCTCCACTCTCCGTCACGCATCCTCTGCCTCGCCGTGCTCCCTCTAACGCTAAGATTTTCCCGCAGCTTCTTTATCCACAACGAGAGCAGTTGGGAAGAGAACGCCGGCCTGTGAGTCATTAGCTCTGGATTCTATCCTCGGGCCTGTCATCTGCTAAGCCTAATTCTCCAGCTTTCTTCAAGGATAGCTAAGGCGGGAGGCTGGGGGCACACCACGGTGCTCCTGCCCTCCCCGCGCGGGGTCCCCAGCAGCTGCGGCTCCCTTCAGGTGAGGGCTGCGAACGCACCGCGGTGGATGAACAGACGGGGTGCGCCCTCCGTCCCCCCTTCCGGAGCGGAAAGGACCCACACCGAGGCGTGGTCAGAGCCGATGGGGTCCCCCAGCCCCTCCAGAACCCCGCCCGGGGAGGAGCTCTCGCCCCCACTCCCACCCCGCCTCGAGGCCCCGCCCTTCGCTCTGCGCGTGCGCCCTGGCGCGCGGGTACGGGGCGGGGGGCGCCGGGGCTCCTGGCCTGCGGCCCCCTGGCTTCTCCCGCGAGGGAACCCGGAGGGGGCGCCAGGTCGGCCTTTCCCCGACAGAGTAAATAATACTCCCTGAGCACCCAAGGGCTCCGGGCCCTGAGGCTCATCTCCTCTTCACAAGCCCCAGGGGGCTGGCCTAGTGCCCCGGAGCTTATCGTTCCCGAACCTTCCATCTCCGCCTCAGGCAACGCAAGGGCTTTGGCCCCCGGCTTCGAGGTCTCCTCACGAAGCCCGCCTCCTCACAGGGCCCGTCCCTGCTTTCTCTCCCTCCCCAGCATCACCTCGCACACTGCGACTGCCGTGCCCTCCATTCCTCGCGGGGAGCAGCAGGGACGCCCCGTCACCCCGGCGGGCCGGAGCTTCGACCGCCCCTCGCGCCCACGCCCGGCAGCTCGAGGCCGTCGCTTCCCGCCCGGCCGCACGCCCCGCCCATCGGCCGGCGGCGCCTGCGCACTAGGCGCCGCCCCGCCCACCAGCCCTCCGCGCCTGCGCACTCGCGCGTCCTCGCCCCCAGCCCAGGCCCCGAGCCGCGGAGCCGCGGAGCCGCGGAGGAGGTGGGCGGCCCCGGGGCGGGGGAGGGTCCGCCGCCGGCGACCGGGCTGGAGGCGAGCAGGAGTGAAGCCAGGACGCGACTCCTCCTTCCTCCCCGTAGGAGACGTTCCCACGGTCCCACCTGGATGCAGCCCCGGCCGTCCCTAGCGCCCGAGCCGCCGCCCGCTGTCCCTCTGTGCAGAGGGACGATGGTGCCCGCGGGGCCCCACGCAGCCTCACCCCAGGGGGGCTGCCCCGCCTGCCCTGGCTAACCTCTGACCCCCAGACTTGGCAGATAAAAATACAGGACGGACGGTTAAATTTGAATGTCAAGTGAAAAAAGGAAAATTTTAAAGACTGCGTGTACACTCACTCACGTGACCTTCCAGGCTGGTGTCCTGTATTCTCAGTGGCCTCGTGCCCCGGGATGGCCTCTCCCTAATTGCAGGGTGCTCAGCCAGGCCCTGGCACACCCGGAAGGGGACGCCCACCTGGAAATTGGCCTCTGCCCACGTTTGACTCCAGACTACTACAAAGGCCAGGGCGGGAGCTGGCTCCAGCCGACAGGACCAGCTGTGGGCCTTGCCTCGCGCTGGAAGAAAGCATGTCCTGCAGATTCCAGCTGCTGCACGCAGGGCTGGCTCAGCCAGCGGTGGTGAGAACAACCCGAGGTCAAAAGGATGACCTGGCAGCTTGTTCGTCAGGCAGATGAAAGAAAACTGAAAGAGATGCCTGCCTGGCAAAGAGTTGGCCAAGGAGAAAGGTGGGACAGGGTGTCGGCTACATTCCTGCAGGAAAGATTCTTCCACCACAGCTGTAAGAAGTCAGGATGGGGCAGACGGCGCCAGGTTGCTGGCAGAGCGCCTGCCCGGTACACAGCCTCCTGCTGCTCCTAGGAATGTGTCTCCTGAGAGCCGAATGAGCCTTCTGGCGTCTGTCCAGAGGTGCTGTTGGCCATCTCATTGCTCACCGGGAAACGCCAGAGAAAGGTAGCTTTACTTTCTGGAATAGTCATCCTAATACTATTTTGGACTTGGTAAGAGAGCTGTCATAGGGGAGTGACTGGTGCCTTCCTTTACCTGGCCCTTTCGTCTGTCCCATGTGACCCCTTTAGGAAGGGGAGTTGCCAAGGGGAAGGGCGCGACCTTTACTAAGTGACGGCCTGTTGTCCAGTACCAGGCTCTTGTCATACATGTTTTCACTCCCACGAGTATGTTGTGAGATCATTGTTCTCTTCACTCTCTGATGAGTGAGAAACCAGGGTGCTGAGGATGACGTGAACATAGTTCCCATGGAGAGTGCTGACTCAGCAGAATGCCCCGCCTCGAGGATGGCGTTGGGACTGAAGGGTGGAGGAACAGTTGCCAAAGACAAGTACTTCAGATGAGTTGGTCATCGTGGCGCCCAGCCCTTGCCCTTGGGGTGAACCTTGGGGATGCACAGACAGTAGAACACCCATCCCCATCCTAGAGGCAGGGGAGACCTAACCTAGGCAGTTGAGGACACGACCGAATGTTGGCAGAAGGGAAGGTGGGGGCCTCGGACAGGAGAGTCTCCCAACAGGACTTGCGTAGCGAGGCAGGGGTCAGGCAGGCGTGGTCCTCAGACTCTGTGCCACGTTGATTCTGCTTTTACCCATCCACCCACCTCAGGATCTACGCTAGTGCTTTATATCAGTTTGGACATCCTATTTGTTCTGAAAAGAAATTCCCTGTTTGTTCAGAAGAGACCCCACCTGAAATGCCCCAGATCGGTTGTGACCCAAACCCAAGGCTTAACATGAAACCAGAACCGCCTGGGGATGTTGCCCGGTGAACAGGACGTCTGAGGAACGTGGAGCTGGCTTTTCCTCTTGAATGTGTCCTGTCTGTGTGCAGCACCCCTAGACACTCCCTAGACCTACCCTGTGCTCAGGCTTCCCTGGAGCATTCCAAGGCCTTGGGGAGAGTGACCCTAGGAATTTAGGTGCAAAATAATCCTGAGATCCCCGGTATCAGGCTGATGCAAAAGCCTGTGAGGAGATTCCTTCCCCCAAAAAACTAAAAGAGGCTGTTTCCCATCTAGACAGTAGGAAAGGGTTAACTGTTCTCTCGGGTCCTGAGCAATGTGTCCCCCACCGGTTCCCATAACCGGGTTTTCTGAAATGGAGCAGGTCCCGGGGTGCCTCTCCACTAATCACATCCTTGGAAATGGGGCCATGAAGCCCAGATTAGCTCATCCCTTCACCTTCTTGAGGCCTTCTCCACCTGGAGCACAGAATCTGGGGCAGCTTCACTATTCACCTCTGTCTGCTTTCCTGTCGGGGGTCAGACAGGGATATGGTCACAGGGAATGCGAGGTTATGGGGGCACTAGAGGCCGTAGTGATGCTGACTTTTGTGTCGATCCTTGAACTACAGCATTTGTTCTTCCTCATTCTAAGACTTAGGGGCAAAGAAACAATATCCCCCCCCCTAAGGCTGACGTTTGTAGAACTAGGGTATTTTCTTCTTCATCCTCTCCTGTGTCCTTCCTCGCCTTAGGATGACTGTCAAGGGCACGGGATAGCTCCTGTTCTTCCGACTGACAGTCTCCCTTTGTGCAGAGTCGTTCATTTCTCCTCCACTAACAGCAGGTTCTGGGGCCAGCCCAGGAGATTTCATTCCTTTCCTATTAGTGTCCAGTTTCTCCTCTTCCTAGATAACCAATAAAATTGATCTCACAAAGTGGTTCTGCTCTCTCTAACTGGCTCCTCCTCTTTGGGCTGGCCTGGATTTGGCCGGCTGATGTCCACTAGAAGGGGAGTTTTGTTAAGTTTTTTTTTAAAAGATTTATTTATTTATTTATACAAGCACTGGTAGAGTCAGAAGCGCGGGAGGGTGAGAGGATTCACCAGAGCCAGAGCGGGGAGCAGAGCAGGCAGAAGGACCGAAGTACACGGCTGAG